CTCGCTTTTGGGTCTTAACATGGGAAAGGGTCGGGCAAAGAGAATGTATATCGGATAGATATGCTCTTATTAGCCCCTGAGGGAGGCCCGACCCCCTGCCATTGCTGGGGTCGGGTGTCACTAAAGATCGAGGAGTTGATAGCGAAACTGATAAGAGAAAGTGTGTGTAAATTAAGGGTAAAAGCGACGTAGCTGTTCGATGTTCCAGGCGTTGACGAAGACTTCGCCATCGATGATCTTGTGCTTGTAGGTGCCTGGTCGGAGCACCTTCACGACAACGTATGGTCCCTCCCACGGCGGAGAGAACTTGTGGTGGTTCTTGTTGCTCTGTACATGGTGGAGCACCAGGTCCCCGACGTTGAAGACCCGACCTTGCACTCGATGGTTGTGGTACCAGTGCAATGCTTGCTGGTACTTGGCCAAGAGGAGGAGGGCGATGTCGCGCACTTCATCTAGCTGGTCCATGGCATCCTCGAGGGACGCCTTGGCTCCCTGTTCATCATACGCCCTGACCCTCGGCGCTCCATAATTGAGGTCGGTTATGAGGATAGCCTTGGAACCATAGACCATGAAGAATGGTGTGTAGCCAGTGGCTCGACTAGGGGTCATCCTTAGGCTCCAGAGCACCGTGGAAAGCTCCGCGACCCATTGTCCACCAAACTTGTTCAACCGGTTAAAGATCCTAGGCTTGAAGCCTTGTAGGACCATGTCATTTGCGCACTCGACCTATCCATTTGTGCAGGGGTGCGCCATGGTAGCCTAATCGACGTGGATGTGGTATTCATCATAGAATTGGAGGAACTTCTTCTCGATGAACTGCATGCCATTGTCTATGATGATGGAGTTCGGGACCCCAAAGCGATGGACGATGTCAAGGAAGAACAGCACGACATGCTCGGACTTGATCGCGGAGATCGGTCGAGCCTCTATCCACTTTGTAAACTTGTCTACGGTGACAAGCAAGTGCATATAGCCCCTGGGCGCCTCCTTGAGGGGTCTGACCAGATCGAGCCCCCAGACCACAAATGGCCACATGATGGGGATCATTTGGAGCGCTTGGGTCGGCAATGGGTCTGTCGAGCGTAGTATTGACACCCTTCATAGGTGCACACAAATCTATTTAGCGTCGGCTACTGTAGTCGGCCAGTAGAAGCCTTGTTGAAACGTGTTTCCAACCAAGGTCCAAGGCACGGCATGGTGCCCGTAGACCCCACCGTGGATATCACTCAGCAACTGCTTCCCTTATTCGATGGGGATGCAATGCTACAGGATCCTGGTGTGGCTTCGCCTATAGAGCTCGACCTCAATAAGGACAAAGGACTTGGCGTAATGTGTGATCCGCTGAGCCTCCATTTTATCCATCGGTAGCGCCTCATGGAGGTGGTAGTCAAGATAGGGCATCCTCTAGTTGGCCAAAGGGTCGGGCTCTATCGCTGGATCCTCGTCAAGCTCCATGACTTCGGGGTCGGATGGAGTCGCTAGCTGGTTAGGCCCCGAGCCCAGGGCAGGTGGCCCATCACCGATTTGTTCTAGCTCCTCATAGCGGACTGAGGGCATGTACTGATCACTAGCGAAGATGCCTGTCGGCACTGGCTCTCGGTCGGACACCATTTTCGCTAGCGCACCGGCCACCTCGTTGTGATGCCTGGGGATGTGACTGAGCTCAAGACCGTCGAACTTGTCTTCCAGCTAGCGGACTTCTTGGCAATATGCAGCCATCATGGCATTGTGGCAGCTTGACTCCTTGATGACTTGGTCAATGACCAGCTGGGAGTCACCTCGGACATTGAGCCATCGGATACCCAACTCGATGGCGATGCGTAGGCCATTGATGAGTGTGCCTCATACTTGGCCACATTGTTGGAGGAGGGGAAATTGATGTGAACCATGTACCTCATGCATACCCTAAGGGGTGAAACGAAGACCAGTCCCGCGTCGGTGCCTTTCTTCATCAATGATCCATCAAAGTACATCATCCAATACTCTTGGTCGACGACTACTGGCGGCATTTGGATCTTGGTCCGCTCTACAACGAAATCGGCCAACACTTGGGACTTGATGGCCATCCGAGGGGCATATGAAATGCCTTGGCCCATCAGCTCGAGTGACCACTTCGCGATTCTTCCTGTGGCATCCCAGTTTTGGATGACCTCGCCGAGAGGGTAGGACATCACGACCGTCACCGAATGCGACTCGAAGTAGTGACGCAACTTCCTCTTGGCGACAAGGATGGCATATAGGAGCTTCTGGATTTGGGGGTAGAGAGTCTTTGAACCAGACAAGACCTCGCTGATGAAGTACACGGAACGCTGCACTTTGAGGGTGTGTCCCTCTTCTTCTCGCTCTACCACCAGGGTGGCGCTAACCACTTGCGTGGTGGCCACAATTTAGAGTAGAAGCGGTTCCCTATTGGTTGGAGGGACTAGGATCGGGGCCTTCGTCAGAAGCTGCTTGACCATGTCAAGTGCCTCCTAGGCCTCGGGCGTCCATTGGAAACGGTCGGCCTTCTTCAGAAGTCGATAGAGGGGGAGACCTCTTTCGCCGAGGCACGAGATAAAGCGGCTGAGCGCGGAGAGGCACCTTGTAACTCATTGTACCCCCTTTATGTTCTAAATTAGGCCCATCCTCATGATGGCCGAGATCTTCTCCGGGTTGGCCTCAATGCCACGCTCAGAGACGATAAAACCTAGCAGCATACCCCTTGGGAATTCGAAAACGCACTTCTCGGGGTTGAGCTTAATGTCGTTTGCTCACCGTTTGCTAAGGTCTGCTCCAGGTCAGCTATGACCTAGTCAACCCATTTGGATTTGACCATGATGTCATCCACGTAGACCTCAATGGTCCGCCCGATGAGATCCTTGAAACACTTGAGCATGCCACGTTGGTACGTAGCTCCGGTGTTCTTCAGGCCAAACAACATTGTGACGTAGCAGTATGATCCAAATGTGGTGATGAAAGACGTCGTGAGCTGGTCAGACTCTTTCATCATGATTTGATGGTACCCAGAGTACGCATCAAGGAAGCAAATGGTTTTGCACCCTGAGGTCGAGTCGACTACTTGGTCTATGCGTGGCAAACGAAATGGATCCTTTGGACATGCTTTGTTGAGACCTGTGTAGTTGACACACATTCTCCATTTTCCACTCTTCTTTCGTACAAGAACGGGATTGGCTAACCACTTGCAGTGGTGTACTTCCTTGATGAACCCGGCCGCCAAAAGCTTTGCAATCTCCTCACCGATGGCTCTGCGTTTCTCCTTGTCGAAGCGATGCAGGCGCTACTTCACTAGCTTGGAGCCTGGCCTGATCTTCAAGGCGTGCTCGGTGACTTCTCTCAGAATGCCTGGCATGTCCAAGGGTCTCCACGCAAAGATGTCTTGGCGCGAAGAAAGTCGACGAGCGTGCTTTCCTATTCAGAGGAAAGCATGGTGCCAATGCGCACCAGTTTGGAGCTGCTGGGGTCTATGAGGACCTCTTTGGCGCCTTCTACAGGCTCAAAAGAGTCGGCCGACCACTTAGGGTCAGGCGTTTCTTCGATGATCTCCTCCCTAATGGCCGCAAGCTCTTTGGAGGCGACAATTGTCGCGGTGTGTTCGCAGCACTCGACCTCACACTCGTAGGCGCGCTGGAAGGAGGTGTCGATGGTGATGACCCTGCATGGACCTAACATCTTCAACTTCAGATTGGTGTAGTTGGGGACAGCCATGAACTTCGCGTAGCATGGATGTCCCAGGATGGCGTGGTAGGTTCCGTGGAACCCGACCACCTCAAAGGTAAGGGTCTCCATCCTGTAATTGGTTGGATCCCCGAAGGTGATGGGCAGATCCATCTACCCAAGTGGTAAGGCCTGCTTTCCTGGCACGATGCCGTGGAAAGGCGCCCCGGTCGGCCGGATGCCCGCTCGGTCGATGCCCATGGAGTCGAGCATTTTCAGTGTACATGATGTTGAGGCCGCTGCCTCCATCCATCAGCACTTTGGTGAGCCGCTTCATGTCGATGATTGGGTTGACCACGAGTGGATATCTTCCTGGCTGTTGGACGTTTTTCGGGTGGTCGGTCCGATCAAAGGTTATGGCGGACTTTGACCATTGGAAGAAGGTAGGCGCGGTCGGCTCGGCCGTATAGACCTCACGGCGCGCAAGCTTCTGGCGGCGCTTGGAGTCATAGGCCGCCGACCCTCCAAAGATCATGAGCAGCCATAAAGCACTAGAAATCTACCATGCTTCCCCTCAGCGTCATATGCGGTCGGCATGGGCTCTTTCCTATGCTCCCCCTTATTGGAGCCTTTGGACAAGAACCGCTTCATGAGGATGCAGTCCTTGTATAGGTGCTTGACAGGGAAAGCATGGATCGGGCATGGCCCTTCGAGCAGCTTCTCGAAGTGGTCCAGGGTACCCTCGGTGGGCTTCCGACCCCCTTTGAGGTCGGCGGTAGCCATGAGCGAGCCCTCTGCTTCTCGAAGTGGCCCATGGACGAAGGGTGGAGGAACATAGCAGACGAGCGTAGCCTTCTGCTTCTCGATTTCGTCCCTCTGTTGACTGTGGTCGGAACTGCAACTTCTCCAGGGAGCACTTACCGTCCTTTTTTTAGGGAAGAATAGCGTGCGTGCAGGGGAGACAGCGACGCCAGTGATCTTGTCTCCGGCGAGTCCCCTGGCGAACTTCTTCTCTTCTGGCTTCTCAGCGAGAGTGGAGAGCACATGTCTGATAACGTGTTAGAAATAGAGAATGGGAGAGATCGATTGATGTAAATGATTCTATGTTTATTTTCAATGAACAATGTGCACATATATATAGGGGGCTATGTAGGCGGTTACAATTATGAAAGAGAGAGGGACGAAAAGACACCCCTTAGATTAATCCTTAATTGATCACTAAATAATAATTCTCAACAGAAATCACCGGCAACCTGATTAAATATGTCCTTTTTATTGGTTGTGGGGATAACAGAGACGAGAATGAATTGATGCTCTACACTTGTAGGTATAAAATGAAGCAATAATCACTCTGAGGTGGAGATCATAAAGTAAATATACTCGAGAATAGAGAATAGAGGCCATACCAGCAATGACTCGGTGTAGAAACTCACATAGGGATAAATGCTGTCGACGACTCCGCCCATCTTGCACACCTTCCTTGCCTGCAATGACGACCCAAGCTCGATGGTGAAGACGCCATCTTCTGTGCTTACAAAAATGACATCGGCGTCTTGGGCAACGCCACTCAAACATGGCTGCCTCTTGAGGTTGCCAACCGGGAGCAGCGTTTTGAGATCGATGACCCTGCGCTGCACCCATCGGCGTCGTCTCCACCGCTGCTTTCTGCCTCCTCCCTTGCGAGAGCATGGTACCAGTCTTAGGACACAGGCAGGCCAATCCCAGCCTGCCGCCCTCCGCCACCATGACGACGACGTTGGTGTTCTTACCATTGCCAATGCCGAGACGCTTCTCCCTTGGCAGCTGCTTCATCAACAGGACGTCGCGTTCGCTGATGCCTGCTGAGATGATGTCCCTGCGTCGCACACGGCGCAGGAGGCCATGTTGGATATATTATGGGCTTGACCCATATAATATTTAATAAATCAAATAAAACTCTATGGTACGTAACATTAAGCGTTGTATGGTTTAATACCATACGGGATTTTGACTGAACGTTGACTTAGCTTATATGGTTGGAAATTTTTCATCTTAATTGACAAGCTGAGAAAAGGACATAGGCGTGCCACACGCGCGCGTGCCGCCGCCGCCGCCGCCGGCCGAGCCGGGCCGAGGGCATGGCAGGCGAACGGGCGTGGCCTGTCTTTTGCCATTTAACCCACATAATTATGGAAGTTTTCTCTCCTTTATGGTGGAGGCGAGGTGATTGCGCCATTTCCGTTTCCCCGTCTCTTCGTGTCTCTGTCTCCTAGATTCCTCCGCTGGCTCTCTTTCTCCTCGTCGTTGGCATAAAACAGCCGCTTCCTGAGAGAAACCACATCTTAGTAGCCCTCTGGCTTCCCCATCCCGTACCTCTATGCGCACGGAGTAGCAGGAGAGCAGGTGCCTCCGGAACCTTCATCCGCCTGAGAACCTTGCACGGGATGAGCGGCGATTAGGTTTTTGGGGAGCGATCTACGACTGCTCGTCCACGTATGTCTTCTTCCTGGTGGTGATCGCTCTCGGAACCCATCTTTTTCCTGGTGATTGCTTGCGGAACAGCAAGGCGTCTTCTTCCTAGTGACCGTTCGTGGGATTGCACTGCGAACATCTTCCTGCAACGACTGCGGTCCACGACTTCGAGCAACGCACTATGTAGTCTAGTGCGAATGGAGCCTCCGATGCCCTCGGCATGGGATCCTCCGCTGGGTACATTCTTATCTCTGTAATTACCGCACTTTGCGTTCTTACTGTATCGATCTGTATGTCATGTCTGCATGCTGTAGCGTTCATTAGAGATATACACATGCACATATATGCCATCACGAACCTACTGATGTTATGAACCTGTTCGCTTGGTCATAAACGATCGTAAATTTCCAGCCATAATAGTATTTTTCTCTCACACCAAACCAGCCAGCAGTAAATAATCCATGATCGTTTACGGCCTCCTGAACAGGCTATATATTTCTAGGTTAAATTAACCATGAAAATGCCTAAATTTCTAACAATCCAAAAACCTAATGTTAGGCAATTTTCTGTCAGTGGATTTTGCTGCTGCTTTGAAGCTAAATAATTTTGATGGCAAGAATTTCATGATATGGCATGCCAAGATGGTATTGTGGTTGACTACGATGAATTGCTATCACGCCGCGCAAGGGAAGCCTGAACAGTTTACTCCTAAGGAGGAGCAAAAGTTCTTGGCTACCGATAACCTGTTTTGAGGCGCTGTGATTAGTGCACTTCATCCTAAGTATGAGAAAAACTACATATCTTGCACATCAGGCAAAGAGTTATGGGATGCTCTTGAGGCAAAGTTTGGAGTTTCTGATGCTGGTAGTGAGCTGTACCTTATGGAGCAACTGTATGACTACAAAATGGTTGAAAACCATTCTGTATTCGAATAGGCTCATGAGATACAAGCGCTAGTAAAGGAACTAGAGCATTTCTCATGTTTGTTGCCCAACAAGTTTGTGGCCGACGGTATAATCGCTAAGCTGCCACCTTCTTGGAGGGATTTTGCTACTTCTCTAAAACACAAGAGACAAGAGTTTAGCGTGGCTAAACTTATTGGATCTCTTGATGTTAAGGAGAGGGCGAGAGTAAAGGACAACCGTGGAAAAGGAGTTAAGTCTTCCGCTGCCAATATGGTGCAGAAGAATAACTCATTTGCATCTCGTAATAAAAAGAAGATGAACATGCAAGAGAACAACAATGCAAAGCCTAAGCAGACTGCTCAGTTTAAGAAGAAAAATAACAAGAAAGGTGGAGGTTGCTTTGTTTGTGGGAGTGATGAGCATTGGGCAAGTGCGTGCCCAGACCGCAAATATAAGCAAGAAAAGAAATCAGCAAACGTGGTGATTAGCGAGAATGGAGGAGGAACATCTGGGTATGGTAATTCTTTACCTTTTGTTCTTTCAGTTTGTCTTTCACCTGAGTGGTGGATGGACAGCAGTGCTAATATTCATGTGTGTGCTGATGTTTCTTTGTTTACTTCCTATCAGGCCAGCAGGACTGGAGCCGTGATGATGGCAAATGGTTCACATGCACGTGTTCTTGGTGCTGGTACGGTCGTTCTGAAGTTTACTTCGGGAAAGACGGTGCTATTAAAGAACGTGCAGCATGTCCCCTCCATCAAGAAGAATCTTGTTAGCGGTTCTCAAATGTGTCGCGATGGTTTTAAAATTGTGCTTGAGTCCAATAAATGTGTTGTGTCGAGACATGGAACATTGATTAGAAAAGGTTATGATTGTGGAGGCTTGTTCCGCTTATCTTTGCTTGATGATGTGTGTAATAAAGTAGTGAACAATGTTAATGTTTTGGATGAGTCGAATATATGGCATTCACGACTTTGTCACATTAATTTTAGCTATCTCACGCGGCTTGCAAATCTGAATTTAATCCCGAAATTTAACTTAGTCAAAGATTCCAAGTGCCATGTGTCTGTACAATTGAAGCAACCGCGCAAGCCTCACAAGGCTGCTGAGGCGAGGAACTTGGCACCATTAGAACTCGTTCATTCTGATTTATGCGAAATGAATGGCGAATTAACTAAAGGCGGTAGACAATACTTCATGACATTTATAGATGATTGTACTAGATTTTGCTACGTGTATTTATTGAAAACTAAAGATGAAGCGTTGCATTATTTTAAAGTCTATAAAGCTGAGGTAGAAAATCAACTTAAGAAGAAAATCAAGCGTTTGCGATCCGATCACGGGGGAGAATATTTCTTAAATGAATTTTCTGAGTTTTGCGTGGTGCATGGAATTATTCATGAGAGGACGCCACCATACTCACCACAGTCCAATGGGATTGCAGAGAGAAAGAACCATACTCTAACTAATTTGGTTAATGCCATGTTAGAGACTGCGGGACTATCTAAGGAATGGTGGGGTGAGGCTATATTGACAGCATGTCATGTCCTGAATAGAGTGCCCACAAAGAACAAAAAAATTACACCATTCGAGGAATGGGAGAAGAAGAGATTAAATCTCTCTTACCTACGAACTTGGGGTTGTTTGGCAAAGGTGAATGTGCCAATAAACAAAAAGCGAAAGCTTGGACCAAAGACTGTTGATTGTGTTTTTCTTGGTTATGATATTCACAGCGTGGGTTATAGATTTTTAATTATAAATTCTAGTCTTCCTGAGATGGCTGTTGATACAATCATGGAATCTAGAGATGCTACATTTTTTGAGAATAAGTTTCCCATGAAAAATGCACCTAGCACGACTAGTCATGAATTTATAATTCTCCATGAGCATGAAAATTTTACTTCGATAGAACAAACTGAGGAACCCTATATGCAAAATCCTGAGGAGGATGACACTATAGTCACTAGAAAAAGTAAGAGATAGAGGACTGCAAAGTCTTTTGGTGATGACTATATTGTGTACCTTGTGGATGACACACCAACGACCATTGAAGAGGCATATTCCTCTCCTGATGTTGACTTATGGAAGGAAGCAGTACGGAGTGAGATGGATTCTGTTATGTCTAATGGAACTTGGGAAATAGTTGATCGTCCCTATGGGTGCAAGCCTATAGAGTGCAAATGGGTGTTCAAGAAAAAGCTTAGGCCTGATGGTACTATCGAGAGGTACAAGGCAAGGCTTGTGGCCAAAGGTTATACTCAAAAGGAAGGTGAGGATTTCTTTGATACTTATTCACCAGTTGCCCGATTGACCACAATTTGAGTTTTGCTTTCCCTAGCAGCCTCTTATGGTCTCATCGTTCATCAAATGAACGTTAAGACAGCTTTCCTAAATGGAGAGTTAGAGGAGGAGATCTATATGGATCAGCTGGATGGGTTTGTAGCAAATGGTCAAGAAGGCAAGGTGTGTAAATTATTAAAGTCATTATATGGCCTAAAACAAGCTCCTAAGCAGTGGCATGAGAAGTTCGACAGAACTCTAACATCTGCTGGCTTTGTTGTGAATGAAGCTGACAAATATGTGTACTACCGGTATGGTGGGGGTGAAGGAGTTATTCTGTGCTTATATGTTGATGGCATACTGATCTTTGGATCCAGCCTCAAAGTAATTGAGGAGGTGAAGGAATTTTTATCTAATAATTTTGAGATGAAAGATTTGGGAGAGGCTGATGTTATTCTTAATATCAAGCTTCTAAGAGAAGGTGATGGTGGGGTAACTCTGTTACAATCCCACTATGTGGAAAAGGTGTTGAGTCACTTTGGGTTTAGTGACTGTGCACCTACTCCTACACCTTATGACCCGAGTGTGCTATTGAGGAAAAATCGGAGAATAGCAAGGGATCAGTTGAGATATTCCCAGATCATTGGTTCGCTCATGTATCTTGCTAGTGCAACAAGGCCTGATATCTCATTTGCTGTGTGCAAGTTGAGCCGGTTTGTGTTAAACCCAGGAGATGATCACTGGCGTGCTCTTGAGAGAGTGATGCGCTATCTAAAGGGCACTATGAGCTATGGTATTCGTTATACTAGACACCTGAAGGTGTTGGAAGGCTATTATGATGCCAACTGGATCTCTAATGCTGATGAGCTTTATGCCACAAGTGGATATGTGTTTTCGCTTGGAGGTGGTGCTGTTTCCTGGAAGTCTTGCAAGCAGACTATCTTAACGAAGTCTACAATGGAAGCAGAACTCACAACATTAGACACCGCTGGCTCTGAGGCCGAGTGGCTTCGTGATCTCCTTATGGATTTACCGGTTGTTGAAAAACCCATACTGGCTATTTCTATGAACTATGATAACCATACTATGATTACGAAGGTTAATAGTTCTAAGGATAACATGAAGTCCACAAGGCATGTTAAGAGATGACTAAAATCTGTTAGAAATTTGAGAAACTCTGGAGTAAAAGCATTGGACTATGTTCACACATCTAATAATCTGGCAGATCAATTCACTAAGGGTCTGTCACGCAATGTGATAGAAAGTGCATCAAGAGAGATGGGTTTGAGACCCACTTGAAATTTACTATAGTGGTAACCTGTTCTATGTGATCGAAGATCCCGTGAAGTAGGATGGTGAAACAAGCTAGTAGTAAATTGTGAGGAAAGATCCTTAGTAAGACTCATTTCTGATGCATATCTTTCCTTTCTGTAAGGCAGGTTGGTTTTTACCTTAATGTGTTCCAAGTGGCTTGCTAAAGCAAAGATGTTGTCCTACAGAACATCTTTTGAGGAGCACACCTATATGAGTTAGACTGTTGGTCACAGTCTATGAGATTTGGGTGATCTCTAAATACTCATGAAAGGCACTGGAGTATGACTTATATGCTTCAAATAGAGGGGATGCCTTTTGCAGCCAAGTATCAGCTAAGGACTTTAGTGACATTCACCTCACACAAAACTGTCAATTCAAGGCTTAGTCCATTGTTTAGTTGTGACTGAGTGAAACTATTGCTCTAGATGGATGTTCAACTTAACAGTCTCCATCGAAACACTGGTATATAAAAGAAATGTGGTTCTGAGACTACTTTGTTACAAACCCTAGAGTTTGGTGGGGATTGTTGGATATATTATGGGCTTGGCCCATATAATATTTAATAAATCAAATAAAACTCTATGGTACGTAACATTAAGCGTTGTATGGTTTAATACCATACGGGGTTTTGACTGAACGTTGACTCAGCTTATATGGTTGGAATTTTTTCATCTTAATTGAAAAGCTGAGAAAAGGAGATAGGCGTGCCACACGTGCGCGCGCCGCCGCTGTCGCCGTCGGCCGGGCCAGGCCGGGCCGAGGCCGTGGGCGTGGCGTGGCGTGCCAGGCAGGCGGCGAGCGAGCGGGCGGGCGTGACCAGTCTTTTGCCACTTAACCCACATAATTACGGGATTTTTCTCTCCTTTATGGTGGAGGCGAGGTGATTGCGCCGTTTCTGTTTCCCCGTCTCTTCGTGTCTCCATCTCCTGGATTCCTCCGCTGGCTCTCTTTCTCCCCGTCGTAGGCATAAAACAGAACGTCCTCGGTCAGTCCTTCTTCCTTCCACAGCCGCTCCCGAGAGAAACCACATCTCAGCAGCCCTCTGGCTTCCCCGTCCTATACCTCTGTGCACACGGAGTAGCAGGAGAGCGGGTGCCTCCGGAACCCTTGTCCGCTTGAGAACCTTGCACGGGGTGAGCGGCGATTAGGTTTTTGGGGAGCGATCCGTGACTGCTCATCCACGTACGTCTTCTTCCTAGTGGTGATCGCTCTCGGAACCCATCTTTTTCCCGGTGATTGCTTGCGGAACAGCAAGGCATCTTCTTCCTGGTGACCGTTCGTGGGACTGCACTATGAACATCTTCCTGCATCGACTGTGGTCCATGACTTTGAGCAACGCACTATGTTGATTAGTGCGAATGGAGCCTCCCATGCCCTCGGCATGGGACCCTCCGCTGGGTACATTCTTATCTCTATAATTACCGCAATTTACGTTCTTACTGTATCGATCTGTATGTCATGTCTGCATGCTGTAGCATTCATTAGAGATATACACATGCACATATATGCCATCACGAACATACTGATGTTATATTTCTGGGTTAAATTAACCATGAAAATGCCTAAATTTCTAACAGGCTGTACCGGTACCGCAGGATCCCCCGTCCGCAGAAGAAGTAGAGCGAGTCCCCGACCAGCGTGGCAGGGCAATTATCGGGGTAGTACCGGCCGTGGTCGAGGTGGATGTTGATGTGCACGCTCCACTCGCCGGTGTCAGACGCGTAAAAACAAGCGTGTGCATCGAAGTAATAGCTCTCTGGTATGTTCTCCACGCCGACGAAGACGATGATGAAAGGGGCCCTGCTGCAACCATGGTGGTCGTTGCAGCCTTCGGTGTTCGCAACACAGACCACAGCTGGGCATGTCAAGACATCCGGCACATCGGGGAGTTTGTGCCGCTCTCCGGTAACCGGGTCCCAGACGACGAAGGATTGGAGGGCGTCGTAGTCGTAGAAGACGGCACGGCCATGGCGGCACTCGAGCGCATGGCACCGGCTATGGTCGGCGTCGGACGGGCAAAAGGACATGGTGGAGACGAAGCGGGGAAGCTTGCGGTTGCTAGGGTTGTGGAGGAAGCCGAGCATCGGCCGTTGGGTGCAACGCGCGGTAGCGGCTGGGGAAGGCAGGGTCGGTGATGATGCGGCGCCAGTCCTTCTAGACGGTGGAGGCCCGGACGAGCCCCGCAGGATTGTCCGGAGCAAGGCGGAGGAGGATGCCCGGGATGAGATCTTTCGGCAGAGTCTGCGGAGGCGGCGCCATGCTACTCACCATTGGCGTAACCACCTCCGGATATCCAAGGAGGAACGGCCCGGAGAATACGTATGAAATCTTCCTCCTATATATATACCTCGGCGCTAAACCCTACCACAAATCTAGGAGAGCTGGCTAATGATATCGCTGCTTCCTTCTATATCATCATCTTCCATACATATCTACATCGATTTGATCCGTGTGAATTGTTGATTGGAAAGTTCCTAACATTGCATGCACGCTTTTCGTTATTCTACGAATTTGCCACCTACTCCCTATGTCATATAATATAGTGTATTTTAGGAATTTTAAGATAAATTAAGAGAGAACATAAAAAGACACATGTACCCTCATTTTATTTCCTAATCAGACGCTATCATCAACGTGATTAATGGTGATTGGTTGATAAATGTAAAGTATTTAATGCAAAACTGATTTTTGTCCTTAAAATGCATTATATTTGAGAATAATTTTTAAATGCTAGAATACAAGAGTATCTTGAATTGTTTTGATACTTCCTTTAGTCTTGTCGTTGCAGCCTGGCATGTGGAATGGAACTTTTGCATTACTAATAATTAAAAATAGAAACCATCTATTATATTTACATTTCTCCTCACTTGAATTTTAAGATGATTTCAGGCAACACTCTTGTACCACCGACTAGTACACGTAAATTTGTTACTTTTGTGATTTATTATTTGTCTTTATGTCATAACATAATAAATTTTTGTCCTTGTCTACTTATAGAAATAATTGTAAATTGTTAATTGTCTTTGTGTCATAAATATTTAGAAATGGCTGGCACTTTTACGTAGTTATAATCCAATAAATAACCATCTAAAAAACCAGAATTGTGCCTCTTAAGATGGCTAAAAGCATGTAGACCTACAATTCGGTTTTAACGATTAGTGATGACATAATCATTGTCACTAATGTGTGTTTTCTAGCAGTATTATTTAGTGAGGTCACAATGATGATAATTGATTGGGTAATTATAGTGTCCATACATACCCCCATTGATGGAATTCGTTTTGGGTTTTAAAGATGTACATGAAGGTTAAGGAGGACTAAGACACTTAGAATAGTATAGGTCCTTATTTTATCTTTTGGTCGTACTATTAAGGGGTACAAACAGGTAGCTTGACCTATAGATTGAGCCTAGTGAGTGAATGTGATGCACACTTATCAAATCTAGCACTAGATAGCTTAGCTGAAGCCCAAAGATCAATTGGAAACCAAGTCATTTTTAAAGGTGTTTGTTTTCAAAGAAAATAGTATGGTGTTCGCTATAGCCGTTGCAGCCGCGGCTTAATTACCTCCTACAAAGTACTATAGATTGAACTAAATTGTTGTTGTGGCTCTGACTTTAATCTCCAATGAACATGCCCTAGGTTGTTTATATAGCCACCAGAGCTCCCCGGTGGGGTCAACACCGCAGCCACCACCGGAGGTTAGGCTATGTGTTGGTTGATTGATAGTAAACTGTGCACAAAACCTTTACTTCTAGTGGTCAATGGAGTTGTACCACCGGAGCTTAGGTACAGTGAGGTAACACAATGATCAGTGACAATCTAGACTCACCGGATTTGTCTGGTAGGGTCACCGGACAGTTCCACTGGAGCATCATAATAGAGAAGGTTGCAGAGGAAACTTAGAGCTCTCAGACTCACCGAAGATCTCTAGTGAGCCACTAGAGCTCATCACCAGAGTCACAAGCATACAGTAACAGCTAGTTGAAATATAGCCATTGGAGGGGCTTCTCTGGAGTTCTCTGGTGCTAATTCAAAGGGACCACCTGAGCCGGTGAGTACTTTTTGGCTAAGTGGAGTTCCTACAATAGTTTTTGGGTGTGGCCTATATATAACTCCTACACTCGTGCTTTGACTCCCTTTTGGACATTTGAGGAGTTAGACACTTGTTGGGTTCCAAGAAAGAGTTTGGCTATTCAAGTGATTTGGAAATCATAGTAAAAGATTAAGGACTCCATTAGTGCTTAGGATGTAGCATGCATCCACTCTTCTCGTTAAGCTTGGTTAGGTCAAGTGAGAGTTTATACTTATTACTCTTGGTGATCAACACCACCTAGACAACTTGGTGGTGCTTGGTGATCTCTCAGTGGCGATTGTGAAAGGCCCATGTTGGTGTACACGATTCGGTGATCCACTGTTCAGGGTGGAGAAGGATCAACTATTAGAGAACACTTGGTCCTTGCACGGATCAAGGGAGAGCTATACCTTATGTGGTGTTCTAGGACTAGTGGGGAGTGCCGGATCAACAAGGGTTGTTGGTTTTAAACTTATATTAGTTTTGTATGACCTGATACCTCGCACTTTATAATTGGTTAATGGCTGGATCTGGACCCTATAAAGTTGGGATTACTATGACTCTATCACTTTGTTTTAAATGGATGCATGGATCATCAATAATGGATTATAGATGTATTGTGTATAGTATGGAGTATGGGCCATGGATTATGAATGCATTATGTATGGTGTGGTGTAGCACTATAGTATAATTATACTTACATATGTTGGCACGTATTAATTTATTTGTTTGATTCAAGGCTTAGGGATGGGTTGCTTTTGTATTATTATTATTCTCAAGCTAAAGATAAATGCATAGATTATGTTTTGTGTGTATTTTATGTCTGGCTCACAAGCTAAACAAGCTAGCTCGTGCTTGTAAACAAGCCAAGCCGAGCTGGATTGTTATCCAGCCCTATTCATAGCTTCCTCAATGGAGACGGAGGGTTTAAATAGGAACCTAAACTTCGGTGAAACAATTTCCTTGTCTCCTTTGTGGCTTTGTGCTTTACTTTGCATATTTGTGATTACCACTTGATCTACTTCATTGTGCATGTTCGAGTATAGGTTCTTCGTGGACTTGCTATTGAACGTAAGTTTGGTTTGATCTACAAGTCTTTAGGCGTAGTTTCATTTCATTTTACTCTGTCAAGTTCGGAAGTTCCGACACCCCCCTCCCTCGTAACTTCTGATGGTTACCGTTGTATTTTTTATTTGTTAAATTTGTAGGAAACAACTATTCACCTACCCCCTAGGTGACATATTTGTTCTTTCATTCAGGAAACCAAGTAACTTGATTTTTACTGAGTACACACATTGGATACTTTCCTTTGAGCGGTCTCCAGGAACTTGTAGATGCATTGTATATACACTGTGAGAGTTGTAACTAACCCTCCTTTTGTGATGTTGTGTGATTTTTGTGAGATCCAAGTGTTGAGTTGAGAGACTTAGAGATAGGGAGCCCAAGACAACAAACCGAAGCATTGAACACTTGTGGCAAGTAAAAAAACTCAAAGAATTTATCACTCTAGGAGGTGAAGTCTCCCGACAAGCATCCAAGTTCATGGAAGGCTGCACACATGTTCAGTTTGAGATCATAATCTTGAAGTTCATTTTGAAAAGGGGAGTTTTCCTCTATTTTAAGCCAACTCGTGAAAACTGGGCTATCCAGTTTTACATGGCACTAGTAAAAAAAGGGCTTCTATTCCCGGCTGCCAACCCCCTTTATTCCCAGTTACGCAACCGGGAATAGGAGTTCGGGAATAAAGGGTTAGCAGCCGGGAATAGAAGTGGACCTTTAGTCCCGGTTGGTGATACCAACCAGGACTAAAAAGGTAGCCACCAAATAATTTGGCCTTTTTATTCTCGGTTGGTATTACCAACCGGGACTAAAGGGTCTTTTTTTTCTTTTCTTGCTTATTTCAATTGATGATTCTTTTTGTTTTAATTTGGTTTTCGAATACGCATTATTCGCTGCAAAGTAATATACGTATACGCGCGTGTACTGTAAAGTTTTCGCTCGATCAATGCACGCAAGCAACACAAGTAAAAGTAAACTAAAACATAATATTACATTTCATCGTCACATGTAAAGTTTGCATTAATTGTACATTTCATCATCACATGTTCTTTGGATCAATATAAAATTTGGCTTTCATCATCACATATTTGGGTCATAGTAAAACTCGCCACCGGGAGTTAAGACCTGATCATTCAGAAATCCACCTATTGTCTCTTGGATTGCTTTGAGATGGTGTGTGTCCAGGGTTTTTTCCTTCAACCAACGAGTCTTCAATTTGAGATATGAGATAAAAAAAGTATATTAGTATATATATATATCAAGAATAATGATAAATAAATTGTATCTATCACGAATATATATATATATAAATATATGTATGAAGAATATATATATGTGTGTACACTTACCCTTTTTTGCTCTAGACTAGTTATTTTTTAGAACACTCTCATGAACTCGCAAACATAGTATCCACAGAGATTGGTCCCCTAGGGCTACCGCAGAACCCACTTTACGAGAAAAAGATTCGTCATCATCCAAGCATAGGGAAATTGAACTAAGGTAGGTATATAGTACTTACTTTTTATAGCACTACTTTCAGTGGCACTTTGCGTTTCATATGGTGTTCCTGACAGACCTTTTCCCAACAACTACCAAATAATATAAAAAATATTTGGACCATTAATTTGCATGCAGAGAGACTAGAATAGTTTTGCTAGTGAGACTGCAATTACCTCTGAATAATATATATCATCTCTTGGAACTCTTTTTGCTCTTTTCTCATCGAGTCCTAGATGCCTAGAAGACCTTTCTCCAGATCGAGTTCCATCAATATCCAGTGTTCACTGCCATGTTCATTAACACTCATTAATTAGCTAACAGGTACAGTGAACATATATATATATGGATACATGATCGTCGACATTATGAACACTTACCTGAAGTTGTAGGGGAAGAGTATACATTTCTTGTCACGTTGCTTCTCTAAGAACATCTTGATATTGGCCTCCGT